AAGCAATTCGAAGATGTATATAAATGCTTTTACCTTAAAATAATGCACATTTCATGCGTTATAATTTCTATTCTATATATGTGATACCAGTTTAAAATTTCCTATGAGTTTACTCCTCCCCCGAGGGATGCCTTCCTTTTTTGTTTCGTGGGTCCTCTCCACAAAAGTCTGGAATACGTATAACTGTTATCCAGTTATTAGCATGTTTAATTAGCCAATCAATCATGGCTACCCACTGAAGATGGAAGCTAAATCTACATAAGACTGACTGCTGTGGAGAGGACCTGCAGACCCTTAAATAAGGTACCAGACTAAACATACACTTTCACATCTGTGAATTATATGGAATTACAATTATTATAATAATCTGAAATACTTCTCATTTAATTTCAAATCTAAATTTGTTAATAGATTATAAATAGTTAATATTTTATACATAAAAAAAAAACTATTTTATACCTGAAAGTGGATATGAAACAGCAAATGCTTAATAGAAAAACCCATGGCTGTATAACTCAAGGGGAGTAGTACACAATAAGAACAGAATATGTAAAACTTACCCTTCATTTTCTTTAGCTCCTCACCAATAACCTCAACTTCCTTGGCAACATCATCCACTCTTCCTTCCAGAGAATTTATCCTTTGCTCTAGAGATGACAGCTCATTTTGGAACTGGCCTTGTAGATCGCTATTTCCATTTATGAAATCTTGAAAACTTTCCACAGCCTTTTGGAGCTGTTTTGGAAAAAAAAAACTAATTTATAAGAATAATACTTTTGCAGAATATTGAAAACCAGACATGAACTAAATTTGCTTCTGTGTGTTTGCTGATTAATTAATACACAAATTGCACTAAGTAACTTTCCCCTTTTATTTTTCTGGTCCGGGGATGTTTGTGCCATATATATTCTTTGTTTTTCTTCACTTTTACAATTATTTCGCAAAAATTATGCAATTATGCAAATTACCACCTAATTATTTAACATATTTTTTTAATTTAATCAAACAATTGTGCTACTTTTAGTTCTCTGAAATTTCGTCCACCTCAGATTTTCTTGGGCCACAGTCCCTCAACAGACTGTGCTTGGATCAATGGTTTGACTATAATTTAAGCTTTAAATAATATAAACAAAAACCACTGAACTGAAATATACATGGTGCTAGAAACACTGGAAGAGTCAAAACATCATGCAAAAGATCATCTACTACTCACTGTAGACCTACACACAAAAATAACTTACTTTTCTGAGATTCTAAACAGTATTACTTATTACCGGTATTCAGTCATGGTTTGATAAAAAAATTTGCTTGGGTTGCTAAATAATATACGTAAACTTCAAGTTCATTTTATAATAAAAGAATGTTTTAGAAATGATGAAATCCACCATGTTTTCTTGAACATGATTTGACCTATGAGTTGACCTATAAGTCAAAAAATATCAACCAATCAGAATACCGCATGGTTCTACCAACAGTTCCAGACATCTTCCATATATTGACAATTGCAAAGAATGTAATCCGCAAGTAAATTTTGTTATTATAAAAGTTGAAGTCCAATTCGTTTGCATTGATTTTGATGTATGATGTTTTGAAAGAGGTGATTTTGAAATGGTAAAAGAGTACTGTTAACAAAATGAAATGTAATAAATAATAATAAATCTGGAAGTCTTTTCCATGGCGCTAACTCGTATTCATAATTTTTTTTGGGACCATGAAGCATGATTGCGTTTTGACGGAAAAGCTGCTTTCTGTCAACAAATGAAGCACTATGTATGCCATCTACTGTTTTTATAATCACTGATGTTTACTCCAAAAATTGGACTAGTTCAAAATTTCAAGATAATTTTGTATTTTAAAAACAACCTATTATTTGTACAGTGATAGAGAGAATCAACTATACATGAACTGCAAATTTTAGCAAACTACTTAGTATTACAAATTAGTATGCAAATTAGATATTACACACATAATAATTAGAAAGTATTATTATATATTCAGCTACCCATACAGCAAGCATGTGCCAAGTTTCAATATATTTACGCAATTAACCAATATGTAAAACACACAGTAATGTGTGCTTTACATATAATGTTATTATGCAAATTTCTTGATTAATATGCACAGATTTTCAACAGGTTATGACACACAATGGTAGACAGACTTAATACAACAAGAGCGCCTGTTTGTGCTCTGCACATGTGAACATGTACCATGATTAATACTTGTTGAGTCATATGGTCTGTATTATTGACTTACCTTTGGTTTGTGGATAATACTAGCACATGACGTCACTTGTATCAACTAATTCTACAAACAAGTGATGTCCGCTGATACCTCATAACAATCTGATAGTTCATACCCTAAACCCTCAAATCACATTTATAATTATTTACCTCAGGAGTGATTCTGTTATCCAATTCTTCTAGCTTGTTTTCAAATTCTTTAAATTTATCCCTTAAGACAGAGAGCTCCATTTCTTCAGTGATTACAAAATTAACACGCAGAATCTGCAAACAACAAATTTTAAATATCAAAAATGCTATAATTTTGAAGTTTCTGGTTAATTTAATCTGTAATATTGATGGTGGTTTTTTCGTTTCTTATATCAAAATTTTGCTTTTCCTAAAAACTGAACATTACCAATACCTAGCAAAAACCTGAATGTACATATTTTGCGCCGATGCCGCCAGATACTTATAAATATCCTTGTTATTTCTGAGTCTAAAATGTGACTGTTGTACATTTCAGATGAAGGATGATGAAAGCAAAATTATATTATCATGGACCAGCACTGGATTTCACAAACATTGAGAAACAGAGAAGAACAGAATTCTAATATATTCATCAAAAATTTGACATAACTATCTTAATTATACCTCCTTGATATTCTGGATAGCATCTTGTACATCTGTGTATTGACTTGGTATATTAGAAGCTTGCAGTAAATGTAGAATTTTATTAATATTATCCTGCATTTCTTGAGTTGTAAACTTCATTTGTACTGAGTGCATCACATCATTTCTGACCTTCAATACCTACAGAGGTAGTGGTAATTTAGAAATATGCCATACTATGCAATATAAAAACATATATATCACTGAATAATATGAGGTTATTACGAGGATACCTTAAAGTAAGCAGGAAGACAGTACAACTGCACCGACACGCAGCGTACTGTCATCGTGAATACTTTGAGGTATCCTTGTAACAACCTTATTATTATACATCTTTTCCTTCCAAGGATACACCATGGGAATGCCGAAATCCAAAATGTTTAGAACAGAATCAGCAAACTTCTTTGTGTTGAGTCAGGTCAAACTCTGGTGGCAGCCATGTTTGTTTTTATTATTAGAGGACGCTTACACGTGTAGTCATTCCATATTTGGAATTCGCATTTCCTAATATGATAAGATTGAAAATACCCCATAAAATACTTAAGAGATGAGTTGATTGAGATGTAATGTAAATTACCAGCAGTGAAAACATATACATTATATACATTTTTGATGTGCCTTGATAGTTTATATAATGTAACTATAAATACATGAGACCCACTTACTTTTTGTGTGTCCTTAATATAAGCATGAAACTTTTTACAGTTGCTCATCAAGTTGAGCAATGCAGAAGAGTCAGTCTCAGATGCTGTCGTCACAGTTTTCTTCTGACCACGAGGCATGAAAACCTTAGCTACTTCCCAGGCTACAGTGAACCACTTTGTATTGTCAGCATTCTGCCAGTACACACTACCTTTATTACTGTGATGAGTAAGGATTTCAACCTCCCATTTTGCGCACACAGGACAGACATGTTTTCTCTTTGATGGTGGCTTATTTTCATTACCTTTGCAGTTTTTTGATGTGCATGCTGGGAGTTTTGTCTTCAGCTGACTGTGAAAGTTGTTGTTTTCGGCAGTGATGAATTTATCCAAGCCTTTGCACATCTCCAACAGTGAGCGACCAACTCGTAACCAGTTCTTGTACTCATCATTGTTCAATCTACTTGTTGCCATAGTTACCAATAGCCAATGTTGGTATTCCCTATTGAGACAATTTATAATTATTAGACAAAATAATTATTATATAGAATTATTTTTAGTCATTAAGTTTATCAGTTTGCAAGAAACATATGTCACAAATGTGCTTCCGTGTATTATTTGATTTTCAAATATGCAAATCAATTTATTTCATTAATTCAAAACAATTAGGGACACTCCAAACTCACAATATTTTTTTTCTGATCGAGGAATGTTTATTGAAATCATTTTTTTAAACATCAATCATTTTTTTTCTTGTATTGGTTAGCTACAGACAAAAATTCTGAATACAGTTGCATATAATTAGCATGCAAATTAGCTTAATGAGCTGCAGTGACTATTTACAATTTATCTACACAAACAGCACATTTGTATATGTGCTTAATTTCAATCCATTTGAGACAAAACATGATGAAAATGACAAATTTAGTATATCTATATATTACAATTATTACCTACTCTAACAGCAAGCATGTATAAAGTTTCAATTCATTTGTTGTAAAGATTAATATCAATTAATTATGCAAATTATCTAATTAAAATGCATGGATTGATTCAAAACAATTATCCGACATGAAAGTACACTACCTGGTTTCAATCCATTTGAGCTGACTATTAGGCTATAAACAAAACCTGCTGAAAGAAGTTAACTGGTATGCAAATAAGCTAATTAATATGCACAGATTAAATCTAAACTAGAGTTAGATATCCAACTATAATGTATGTAGGTACTAACATCAAGTTTCATGTATTTGAGCAAAATATTTTTATGATACACTTTAAACAAGCCGAAAAACTAATAGCTACTTAATATGCATAGATTCATTAAGAGCTATTATCATATATTGATTAACAAAAAGCAACTGCATACCAACCCTTATATGAGGTTGTGAACTTTCCAGGAAGGTTGCTGGAACTGTCCTGCACAGAAATGTTGTGCGGCAAGAGAGACAAACCCCAGTCTGTGAAACTATCAGAATGTGTGAGTATAGGCAAGTAACTTGAAACATCACATTGTGCGAGAAAAAGAAACTGCTGGAAATTCAATCACAGCCAAATCTACATAAATGCTTGGCAATGTTCGGCTGTTCGCTAACTATTTATGACCCGGATATCTTACCCAGATATCTCATCTTACCCGTATATACCAAATGCTACAAAGAAAGTATATCGAATAATACAGCATAATCCGGGGTAGAAAGCAGAAAAATTTTGTTTATCATATGTTTTTATTGTGGTTTGGGTTTATTGATCTATATTTAGATGTGATGCCATTTTTATTGAAAAAGTCACATTTTGGTAATTATTTCATATTTGGAATGTTGAAAAACGCTGTAATTTATATATTTTGAAAGAGACGTAATTGTAAGTATGGCAAAAATAATCAAAATCGAACGATAACTAATTTTTAGGTTATTGAGTAATGTATGTATCTTAAAAGGATTCCTGTGGTGTGGGTACTGGTCAGGCAAGCTCTAAAGTATGTTGTTACTAGTACTATGCCCCCCCCCCTACCGACTGCAGGATTAGTGCATTAAATTGGTCTAGTCTAATCTTAGATTTGGTTTAGCCATTAGTCTATTTTCATCACATCACATGACGTAATGCCTAGTGACATCACTTGAACAGACTGGCCAAAACATGAACCAACACCCTATACTACTCAAAATATATAATCATCATAACAGTTACATTTTGCTTACCAACATTTGATTACCAATTTATCCAGGAGCAATAATTATCCCGAAATTTATCAAAGATCGATCTCAAATTGTATGATCTGAAAGACTGAGCTCACGTGATCCGGAAGTTTCATATGCCACGTTGAGACATAGTTTACGACATCAGGATGGTACAAACGTTTACGATGGTCGTCTGCAAACCACCATGCGCCTTAACCCGCAGACAATGTGTTCCATTGCCTATTAACGTCGTAACCTACCTCCAGTTTATTTCACCAGACTGATCGGTAAGCACCCAAAGTCAGGCATCGGACTCAAGATGGGCTTTTTTAATATCTTCCGGGTATTTCCCAATCCCGTCACCTTTTCACAGAATCGGGGTCATTCTTGTCCTAGATACACTCCAACAATAGGCGCCCTCTAACGCTCTTCGTCGCGTTTCGATTGTTTATTATGCAGGAGTCATGATACAGTGTATAAATAAGTACATTTTTTATTTCGAACAAAATTACCAGACGACTTCAAGTGAAAATCACGAGTTGTGTTCAATCTGTCCCATCAATCAAGTATGAACGATTGATCAATTTTGTCATATATGGCTGAACTACATTCGAGTGTGTCATGCATGGGTGATGCAACGCTGTTTCTATAAATAGAAGATTATCAGTGACAGTGAAATTGACTCACGTATTACATATGGAATTTTAGATTCTTCCTTCTTCGAAAATGGGCAAATCCTTAATGAATCACTGAACCCCGGAATTCTCATGTGTATGTTATCCAGCATGTTTGCAATTGTAAAGTAAGGTATTTATTTATTCAATAACACATACCCCCCCCCCCCGGAAATGGAGAAGGTTACAACAACAACTACAGAATACAGAAAATGCAAAGAAATAAAAACCACAATACGGAGACATCAAGACAAACACACACGTACATACACAGACAAAACAAGGGGAAAAGCCACCTAGGATTGATCTTGCTTGATTTCTAATCTCTTTTTTTTTTATAAATTTTGCTGCATTGACGCAAACAAGTAGGTTCTTACTGGAAATTAAACTCAGTGAACTGTGTCTCTGGTGATTTATTATTGACATTCTGAGATCCTGGTATTCATTGAATTTGATAAGAAAATAGGTTTCATCATCTTCCACCTGGTTTTGATTACACACGGCATGTCACAAATTGTGTCATTCAGGGAAATTATTTTGTGGCGGTTAACCAGTCGAAATAAGGAGAGATCTGTGTTTTCTAGTTTTGTAAGGTGTGACGTATTTGTTAAATAGTTGAAGGCTTTTTGGAATATTTAATAACCCCCCCCCCCCGATCGCAGTATAGAGGTGAAATGAAAATGTTGTTAACTTTGTCTTTTAATAAATGGTCTGATGTCTGGTCCATCATTTATAAAAAATATAAGGGTTTTCTAAAGTTTGTCTCTCACATTAATTTCGGGTTTTGCTCCCCTCGATGTTAACACGGGGTTAACACAACTAGCTCGGGGACGCCTTTTCCCGGCAGAACTCGCAATGTTTAAATTTCGTTCACGCGTGCCATTTCAGGTTCGTCCATCATTTAGACTGATGTGAAATAGACTATGTTATTTGAATGTAATACTGTAAAATACTTCGCTGAAAGGTTGATTCAGTGAAAATAATATTTTACCTTCAACTCGTCAAAAATCAATGAAAATAAATTCCATACAAAACACCCAAAAAGAATTTTTAGCAAAAAATTAATTCCAGCTAAAGTAAAATATTTTACAGTATGTAAAGTTGGGTCCAATCTGATTAAAGTCCGATGGGTAGGTATAGGCTCAAACTTTTTTTTTATTTTCATATTTTTTCATTGTTATTTTTGTTTATTTATAAAAAAAAATAAGTCTACGCCTACATCTGATTTTAATCAGATTGAGTTGGATCGTAAAGAAGACTTAATGAAAGTTATCGTATCCCGTCGAGAATCATCATTGAA